GAACAAGATGCACAAATCGGGATGACGGAAACCACAGCCACTCAGTCTTGGAGGGACTGAGCTTGAGCCTGCTTGAGAGAAGGTTGCAAAAAGTAATCAAATGACCCTGGGACACGACAAGCGTCATAAATATAAACCAGTTGCCAAGCATCTGAATTTTGATCATGTGACTATGAGGATGCTGCAGTGATCATAAGTGTGAAAAACAATCATGTCACTTTTTCCATTGTCATTGTAACTTTAACAGTCATTTAAACAGACTGTTATAAGTTGAGGACTACCAGTACTACCTCCTCATGGCTTCCTAATTTATTTTCCTTGGTAAAAACCGCTGTGGGAATTATCTCTCTTTGGCTTCCAAAGAGTATCATTCCTATTGTGATCTTACAACTAGTCCTACCTCATTATGAAGGTTATGAATAAAGAGACTAGCTACATATACCAATGTTCCACCTCCAAATTACGCTTCTTTCCAAAAATAAACCGATGGGTCAGCAAAAGCTATTGTAGATTAAGGAATAAATATTATTTAAAAAATTAATGAAGTTGGGACTTGTTCAGCTATGAATTCTTGCGTGGCAAAATTGGAATCTTTCCACTGTTGCAAGAACATTGTTGTGATTTCTGGCGTACATTTTAAGAACAGTTGCCAGATATAATAATTCATCTCCTGCTCCCCTCCTTTTAAATTGAATTTGTTTTGAGGAACTATTCAGTGTTGTTCTGTGTAAGCAAAGTAAGATTCTTGACACAGATTAGTAACAACTGAATTCTTCTGTTGTGTTTTAGAGCTAGTCATGTATTTGCCCAAAATAAATAAACCAAATCCTTGAACTTATCTTCATTTATCAGGGTTCAATTTCCTTCTCATCTCCAATTCACAGTGGGGAATTTTATATCATGCTGCATAGTCTAATTTATGGAAATTGTTTGCAACTTCTGTGCAGTGATTCACTCCGTTGTTGTTCTTGTCACTTGTTCTTGTTATATTTGGACGGAAACACTGTATAGGAGTGAACTTTATTTGCTAAGATTCACCTTTCTTTAAAAAAAAATAATGTCATGAGAATCTCCACGGAAAGGGAAATGTCTCTACGGTACCAAATTAGCCTTCTGAGAAAATGATAAGAGTGAGGAGAAGTATGTGTTTTTACCACCGAATAAAGTTTTTACTCAGTTTTAAATAGAAACATAGCCTTCTGAAATGGTATTTAAGCAGGTTATTATGAGTGAGAGAGACCACGACAAGTGCTAAATGCAGTAGAAATGATTGACACATCATAGCTGTAGAAAGCTCTCTTTCTGGTGAACATTGGGACAAAAAAACCTGTAAGTAAATTCTGATAGTAGGATCCACAAAAGTCTCTGAAAAGCTAAAAGAATTTTGCTTAAGAAAATAAGATTTCTTCTTACATTTAGCCTTTTACGGCTACCCAATAACTGCAAATTATTCGTATGATTCACTTTCTGCATGAAAAGATAACGCATGACTCAAACCAACAGGGATTTGCAGGGTGTGTGTGTGTGTGTGTGTGTGTGTNTGATTAATCTGCAAATGAAGCTTATGAAAAGATGAAAGATTTGCTAGATTTAATTAAAATCAGAAAAGCTTTTTGTTTCTTTAAATCACTTTTATTACATTACTGATTTATTTTCTACCTAAAAATGGACCTTGGGGAAACATGTAAAGCAACAAATCCTATTTTACTAAGCCACAAATGAATAACCAGCATGGTCATTCATTCCCACTTGTCTCTTCCATTTCATGAATGAAAAAACAAACTAGAAATTGATAGATTCACGTTACAGGGTTACTAACCCTAACCTAAGTATTGATAGCTATACTTTTGATTCCTTTCCTCAATACCTGTAATATGAACTTTTATATTTTTATTGATGGCAAATGTAGCACCTTTTCCTTGCCCAATCATGTCAGTTTGTATCCCTTATACAGTGCATCTTTATCATTATTTTAATGCTCCATCTTTTAGCAAAATAAAATTCAAATTACTTATAAACATTGAATGGCCTCTGAAGGGTGATCATTTCTACTAGCTACCCGTGCCCACAAAAGGGCCTGCATTGTTTATTTCAAAATGTTTCACTCTCCTTTTCTTGCGGATTTAAAATCCTTGCAAAAAATGATTCGTAATCACTTCTCAAACAAAACAAACCCGCTAAGAAATCACCATAAGTCCTGGTAGAAATAAATATTTTAAACTTCCTCCTAAACTAATATAGCCTCATCACAGAAAAAGCAGAATGAAGCCATTGATGTTAAATGTACGCATGGTATATATATGTATACAATGCGTACATGTTCAAATGTAAATGCAAAAGGAATCCTCTTAAAGATCTCAAGAGTGCTGTGCAGATTGTGGGAGAGCAGGTGGTCCTTTAAATAATCTTCAGATTTCCCCCTCCCCTTATTTTTGCTGAATTGCACACATTTTAAGAGTTCTTTGGAACAATACGTTCGTCTTTAAGCAAAATAAGATTGTTTTAAGCTCATTTGAAATAAAGGCTGTTTGTCAACCAGCAATTCTTTTTTATGGAGATGTAATCTGTTCCTGGAATATTGCCAGCCCGGGATTCTGTTTTCATGTTCCCATTTCCCATATGATGACTTGTTTACGCAGGTGTCTGAACACGGGCCTGACCCTAGAAGTGTTCTTGGGAGTATCTCATCACAGTGGTGGAAAAGTCCTGTCTCTCTGTGACTGTCAAGGTTTCTGACACTCAAAACCTGATATTTCACTTTTACCTTGTCAAATATTTCATGTAAGCCACATGCTTCTTAGCAACATTTTCTGTTTCTAATATAACCACATGGTTGCTATGATCTCTGCTTTGTACATTTGCAAAGAGTGATCTGTCATTGGGGTGTTGTTTTTCCCCTCAATATTGAATGTGAAATTCTTCTGTAAATAACTTTTTGGTCTCTTGATACAAGGTTTAATAGACATGAAATCTGAAACTCAGCCTGCACTTTTTTTGATTAACATTGACATCAGTAAAAGAGTGATGACTAATGTAACTGGATACAATAAGCCTCTGATAACCTTTTCTGCTACCCCCCCCCCCAATATGTTGAGTCTACAAAGAGAAGAGTGATACTGAGAAACTGAGATCATTTCAATA